AAACTCGCGCCCCCTAACTTATTAAATTCTTATAATTATTAAAATAATAATGATAATTATAATAATGATAATAATTATTATTATTATAATTATTATCATCATGAATTAGATAAGCATCTACAAAAATCAACAACTATATCTAAAACAGAACGTTCTTAAACAAACGTTCCCCAAACAATATCTAGATCTAAAATACTTCATATATCAAATATAAAGATGGTGTTCATGCAAGAGATGGGGTACACATAAAGTTTGTCATAGGGGATTCCCCATCAGAGAAGTACCAAGGGCGGGTACAGCGAAGTAAGGAGGGGGAGGGGGGGGGGGGGGGGGGAATGCAGACCCTGAGATAAGAAGGGAGGGCCAGTTTTTTAAAAAAATTTTCTCAGCCCCTCCTCTGGATCGGCCACTGCCCTTGGTTCTTCGTAATCTCCGCTGAAAAATCTAAACCAAACCTAATTTCTCTTCACCAGTCGGCAAACACTGTAATTTTAAACCCGATTTTCAAACCTTCCGATCACTCGAACCAGTTTGCTTTTCTCAAGGTTGTTTTTTTTTTCGATTCTACTTTAATTCTAAATATGGAGCTTAACGAACCACGACGGCGACGGCGAAGAGAACGTCACTTAAAAAGTGCACTTGCGCTCTTCAAACGTCATTGCTCTTATCACCTTAATTTTTAGGGAGTTATTATAACTCCAAAAATGGAGTAAGAATTTTAGGTACAGGATAATCCCTTTTTGGGGGTTAATTTAACTCCTAATTTAACTCCGAATTTGCGGTCATTTTTACTCCTGAAAAAGAGTTCTTTTTCTCCCAGTCTGGAGTTAAAATAACTCCGAAATGGGGTTATTTTTACCCCTTACATGGGTTGTTTTACTCTTTTTGGAGTTAAAAATTTTAGATACAGGATAACTCCTTTTTTGGGGTTATTTTAACTCCTCAATATCTGGGGTCACAAAGAGTTCTATAAACTCCTTTTTGGAGTTGAAATCACTCCCCAAAAAATAACTCCACTGGAAGGAGTTAAATTAGCCCCACTAGAGGAGTTATTATAACTCCTTGAAAATTACTGTGATTCCATCATGTTTAGTTTCTAAAATAATGAAGAAGGGATGCCGGGAAGGACTCCCGGACTTCCCTTGATGCAATGCGTCTCTCCATCAAATTTGTCCCCGGATGACTGGAACGAGTCCCCTGCAGTTGGGCTCTCTTAAGAGGGCTTGAAAGGAAAAATACTACGCAGAATCTCATGCAGGTTGGCGGAAGTTGAACAGTTGAAAATTCATTTGAAAACCAGTTCTTTTAAATGCAGCTTAATTGCTTCTGGATATCCCATTAAATCTTTCCATAGGAAATGGATGATCTTAATAGCAGTTCTAATTGCGCTTGTCGCTTGGTATATTTGATTTATTTAGTATTACAACTGAGGTTATAGATATATTCGCGCGCTGTTATTAGTACAAGACTGCATTTAAAAAAAAAAAAATTGTCTCATAAACAAGGCCAATTTACATCATAACTTGGAAGTAAAGGAAACTAAATTAAAGACGTTTCATACTCCTCGTAGAATGTTATATACCCCAAAACAGACGAAAATAAGCCCAAAGCGAGGATAGGTTGACCACAAAATGAACCCATCTCTCGAAATTCTACGCTACAAAACAACTTTTTTATCACAGTTGTTCGTTTACCTTTGAAAATAAAAAAAGTCACCCGCTGTAACTCTTTACGAAATTAACTTTTTCTAAACCTGCAGCAAAGCCACCAGCTCTCTGGCCATATTAAAAAGCGCATATTCATGCAGTCTAGGAGAAATTGTAATTATTTCGAAATATGAGCTAGCTGTTAACAAATATACTCCTGACAGGTGAATACCAAAATCGACCGTAATAGTTTGTTAGATAGCAGGAAGTGCAAACAGTGGTTTGCTCCAAAGAACACAAATGAAATTTAGAAACTCATTTTGACGTGCTGTAAATTGTTGGTCTTTAAATTGCCCTTTAGAATGCAGCTTGTTCATATGTAAGACATCTGTTCTATATACAGTATTATCAAGTGAAAGAGGTAACGCCAAAATAGCTGGAAAGATCTTTCTCAAACTTGGTAGTTTTCGTTTGCTGGGCTTTTACTTGATTCCTCTTCGCCAGACTTGTTTCAACAAACTGATCTGCAAGTTCATTCTACTTCTGAACGCAACGTCTGCACATCAAACGTCTCTTTTCCGATCTTTCATTTCAAATGATTCAAGATCAAGCTGTTGCGTCAGCAGATTAGAGTCCGTCCGTGATTCTTTTGAAAAATTCTTTATCTCGGCACTTCATTCATGGCAGCAGCTGAAGGCTTGTACACGACGTTCATTATTAATTGCGCCTTCAATGCTTTTTCGTCTTATACTGCCATAGCATTTAACATCATAGCAATTCAGGCGATGAGAAAAACGCCCTTGCCAACTCCTCTAAAAACATTGCTTATGAATCTAGCTTTTTCTGATCTTGGCGTTGGCTTGCTGGCCCAACCTATGTACGTTGCAAGTCTTTTCCTCAAGGCGATGAAACTGAACACTGATAACTATTTATTCAACATCGTCTCTGTAGTCGTAGTGAATATTCTTTCCTTCGCTTCGTTCTTTTTTGTGACTGCCGTAAGTGCAGACAGATTCTTGGCTATTCATCTCCATCTTAGATACCAGGAACTTGTAACTCTCAAACGAGTTGTTTCAGCAGTTATATCAATTTGGGTTTTTAGTGCAATTTTTTCGCTTCTATTTTCCTTTATCCCTAAAATGGCATTTTTAGCAAAAGTTTCACTAACAGCGTGTTTTATTTCGACGACGTTTTTCTATGTTAAGATTTATGTGGCTGTTCGACGACACACAAGTCAAATTCAAGCCTTGCAAGTTTACGAATTATCACAGAATGGCGAAACGGCGTCCGCTTTGAGGCTGAGAAAATCTGCTGTTAGTACATTCTACGTGTATGTCGTGTTCGTGGCTTGTTGTTTGCCGAAAACGTGTATCTTGTTGGCTGGTTCCAGAGCTTTACAAAGTACATGGATGAAACATTTGAATATTTACACCTTTACACTGCTTCTTGTGAATTCATCTCTAAATCCTGTGATTTATTGCTGGAAGATGAGGCACATTCGACACACTGTCTTTGCATTACTGAGAAATATATATTCCAAGGTTTGCAATAACAGCAACAACAATATTAATGTGGTTGGAGCACTAGAGCAATTCCCAGAGACCCTTATTAGCCTGTGAGCTACGGTGGTGTAGTGTGATAGCACTTGCTTTCCAGGTGAATGTGACCCGGATTGAGTTTATTGTTGGCTCTCGCCCTTGCTCTGTGAGCAGTTTTCCCGCAAGGGCATACTGGGGTAAACTTTATATGTTCCTAAACAGATCATGGTCACACACCACAGCCACATCATCTCCAACCATGGTGAAACATGGCGGGCAATGAGAAACCATGACGGGTACCTTGGTCAACTTGTTGCCAAGGCCCACTGTATATTCGAAAAGGCGATACATCTACTAACATCGTCGGACTTTTTACTCATTAAAACACAGAAGAAGAAAACGCGAGCTGGCAAATGAATGGGTGACATTTAGCCGTAGAAGAGAGAGTTCGCGTGTGTAACTTCGCTGGTAACATGTAACGGGAACAACTTGCACCGCTCATATCATGCACGGAATAGATTATATGCCGCGTTAGTTCTGTTTGAAGAATTATATCGGGATAGGTTGTAATAATAAGTAGGCTGAACACACGCATATCAATGTAAAGATTTATTTGTTAATTAGTATACAAGAAGCGTGCTCTCGTAAACCGAATAAAGATGACATTTGGGGGGAGGGGGGAGGGCACCCAACACCGCAATACCGTAAGAAAAATTAGCAGATACCGAAATATCGTGTCAAAAATCGATCAAATACCGATACCGCATTTATGATCAGTCACGTTTACTTAAAACTTTATCCATCTCGCGTGTTTGTTTACCTCAAGTATGTATGCACCAGAAATCAACCTCAGACATTGCGACAAAACGTGAGAAGACCTTGATCGGTAGAACAATCGAAAAGCCCGGTCATCGCATGCCCTTCCAATTTCGTCATAGATTGTGTAGTCATTTACCACTAGTAATAGTTGACACTACAGCTGCCCCCGCTCTGTATATTCTCGGTCAATAGTATTCTTGCTCGTTGCGTAGCTCTTTGAAATATACCGATTCATAATGAAGATGTTCACTACCGTGGCCCATATAGGACATCAACAATATTTCTTTTTTCGATTGAAATTTTCATCTTAATGTTTGTCACAAAATGTGAGTTGTTAAGTTTTTTCAAATAAACAACGTTTTGTTTCTGCAAAAATCCGAGTCATTAATTTTTCAATTAGACAACTCGGATTTTTACGGCAAAAATCCGAGTTGTGCAATCTCTAAAGTACACAACTCGGATTTCTAACGCAAAAATCCGAATTGTTAATTACTCAATAAAACAACTCGGATTTTTACCGCAATAATCAGAGTTGTTTAATCTCTGAAATACACAACTGGGATTTATAACGCACAAAATCCGAATTGTTGATTTGTCGATTAAACAACTCGGATTTTTATCGCAAAAATCCGAGTTGTTTAATCTCCAAAATACATATCTCGGATTTATAGCGCAAAAATCCGAGTTGCTGATTTGTCAATTAAACAACTCGGATTTTTACCGAGAAATCAGAGTTGTTTAGTCTCTAAAATACACGAACTCGGACTTATAAGTCGCAAAAATCCTAGTTACTAATTTTTCAATTGAACAACACGGATTTTTTTCCTACGGAAGCTTATAGGTGCCATGCGACATCCAACATCCGACATCGGACATCCGAGATTCGCATCCGAGATCCAACATTCGACATCCGACATCCCAGATTTGACATCCGACATCTGACATCCGAGATTCGACATCCGACATCCGACATCCGACATCCGTGATTCGACGTCCGACATTTGAAAGGATGGCCGTGATGTGTAGTTCCTGAGATCAAGGGGCCTACGAAGTGAGGTTTGAAAGGAAACAATGCGGACTATTCTGGTTTTGTTTAATATTTTTATCATTTTGCATTGTTGCGAATGCGTATTACCCCGGTATGCTCCTTCATTAGGAAACGTGCAGCGAAGTCGTATCCTTTTCAGGTCTGTACGATGAATTTAAACCATTTGCTCTTGCACATTTAATTTTGTGCTTGTAAGTAATATGATGATTTCAAGACATAGCAGGCTTTAATCCGTTAAGTTTGGAATGTTTTAGGGCCTGTTTACATGGAGGTGGGGGACCCCAGGTAGGTGAGGTAACCCACTTAGGTGGGGTAAAAAAATAACTCCCCTTTACATGCAATCTCTTACAACCCCGCCATCCCGGGGTGCACTTTCTCGAGATTATTGAATGGTCGCTAAGCACGTACACTAGAAAAATGCTGGCAAACCACGTGTTTTGGCGATTAATGCTCTTCTACACTCACTTGCTGCTGTTGCTGCAACCCTCAGTGCTGTGGCTTGCTATTGTTACCTTTAATAATGATGCAAAGCCACCGCCAAAGTGAATTTTGCGCGAATTTGATGTATCACGAATCCGACCCCGGTTAGGCGGGTTACCCCACCTTGAAACGTTTACATGGCAAATATGACGCCGGCGGGTTACCCGGTCTAGCGGCCCGGGCAACCCGCCTTGACGGGGCACCCCACCTATCATGTAAACGTGATCAAATTAAAATGAGAGATCATATGGACAGGCGGGTTACCCGCCCACCTTAGCGGGTTACCTCACCTACCTAGGGTCCCCCACCTCCACGTAAACAGGCCCTAAAACATTCCAAACTTAACGGATTAAAGCCTGCTATGTCTTGAAATTATCATATTACTTAAAAGCATGAATATTTGAACAGTAAGTACTGTCCTTAATATACGCGCGAGTTACTAGGGTGCCTCCTCGGGATTTCGCCTGTGGGCGAAATCCCTGCGGGGGCAATGACTGTATATTTCAACTGTAAGTAGTGTCCTTAATATACGCGCGAGTTACTAGAGTGCCTCCGCGGGATTTCGCCTTCTGGGAATTGTTTGGTCGGCAGTGATTTCATTTTTTACCCAATTTATAAGGCTGGTGGTATGCTTTCTTTAACTGATTACTGGATAAGAAAGTTTAGTGCATAAATTTATGCAGTACGCAAGGCGAAACAACTCTGGGTACATGTCCGTTTTACCATAGTTATTAAAGTGGAATGGTTAAGAAACCCGTTAGACTCTTTTGTCATATGTTTTGTTAGCTTTTTTTTAGCAGACCGTGCTCAAGGTCCAATAGCAGTCCTATCATTTTGAACGTACTGACCAATAGAAACATTGCATTAATTTATTCAGTCACAATTTGTGAACAAAAAAACAAGACTGGGCACGGTCAGGGAGCTTCCAAAATAAACTACACCACCGTTGTTTTCAACTTTAATGTTTGCCGGCTTTCCTAACCAATGTCCTCTACTAACTATGGTTTTACCAAGGTGTCAGCCTTGTAGAGGTGTATAGATGCAGTCGGTGGTGCTTTGTTTTAAGATCATTTTTAAAATACATATACAGCCGACTCTCTGTAAAACGGACACCTCTATAAGAAGGACACCTCTGTAAAACGGAAACCTAGAGTTGGTCCCTGCCTTTCTCTAAGACCTTAAAGAGACGGACACTTACTGATGATCCCCAGACGCAGTTAATCGATAAACCGATAATCGATATTAATCAATGGTAATTGATATCAATCATCGATAAAGAAATAAGTTGTGACTTCGATTAATATCGACGATTTTCCGATAGAAATCGATGATGATTTTTTTATCGATTGTTATCGATTTAGTTGATCGATTATAATAGATAAATTATTTTTCTGTCATTTCAATTTCTATCGATTTCCGATATCAATCGATATTAATCGGCGGATTAAATCGATTAATATCGATTTTGATCGATTAACTACGTCGGGTGATCCCTAAGGTGTCCGTCCTAGAGCCAGTTGACTGCACGTCCAAATTATACAAAAGTTAAACTGTCCATTTCACATGAGAAAAGAAAAAATAACCATTTTTGAAATAAACTACTCTGGGATTTAAGTGCATAGCCCAAATGCATAAGGACTGAAGTTTCAAAAATCATCAGGACATAAGTGCAGATCCACCATTCGATACTGAGGGGGTACCCAAAGTAAGCGACTACTAAAAGTTTCGTATTCCGGTAATAATGAATGCAATAATCTTTCAACCATAATTCAAACAACTGAGTTCAATGAAGATCAAATAATGTAACATGAACTGTTTAGTTTAACCATAGCTCTCCATTAAAAACCACAGTATTTTCAACTTACATTTTTTCGGAGAAATCAGTAACTGCCAAAACTATTGACATGGACGTTACGTAACGTCCATGAAATTTAAAGGAATTGTTTTCTCTCGCAGCTGTTGTCTAAGACCGATACAAAAAATAACAACGGGGCTTTTTTATTTGACTAAGTAACATACATCTGTGACAACAAAACCAATCAGTTCCGAAAGGACACAAAAAAATTGGATGTTAAATTTCTCATACTTCATGGATTTTACTTTCATGGACGTTTCATCATGACAACAATAGGGACTTTAAGATCCAACGACGCGACGGCGACAAGAACGTCGCTTAAAAAGTCAATTTGCGTTCTTTCAGTCTTTATAGCGATTATTTGTAACCACTTACTTTGTCAAATGTAGGCGAACCCTCCTGAAGCTGAATTTCAAGGGACCATATTCAAGCTCGGAAAGAGAAATAAAATTTCGTCGTTGCTTGTTTACGTCCTCTATGAAACGCGAAATTAGGCATTTTCACGTCGTAGTCGTGCAAAAACGGGAAAGAAATGTACAAAAAAGTGTGATACACTTGCGAAGTTGTTGTTTTGCTTATTAAACCTATTGTTTTTTTTTTTTCACGTTCTCGTTGTTGTCCGCGTCTTTGGATCTTCAAGTCCCTAATAAATGCAGGAAGCTCACCAATAATTGCCCAAAAAGCCTGGTTCTAAATTAATTTGTTATTTAACAACAATAATGTATATTCAGCATTGCTGAATATTATTATGGAGTTAAAGAGAGCACTTAGAATCTTATTGGAGACGATAGTGAATTATTATAAGGACAACATTATTAATAATTACAATAGTCAACAAAAATGCCAGGTGTAAGTTACTTCATCTTGTAAGGTGGCTCC